CTGCACAAGCGGGGTAAGTGTAACTTTCACGGCTTTTTTTAAACAAATCTGTTAAGCTTAAAAAACCACCGTTATATATATATATATATATATATATATATATATATGGGTGGTTTCATCTCAAATCGTGCAGGCAAAAAGGGTCGAATTTTTAATTTCGATGAAAAAAATATATGTTATGGCGCCGTTTCTAAAACCGCAGTCGATACAAACCGCAAGTTCGTCGGATTTTTTGTTCTCGACTTATGAATTTTTAAAGAGGCCGCGGCGAAAAGCAGTGTTTTTCACACCCGTCGTGGGTCGGATGTTTCGCTTGATCTCCCGCCATGGATTTTCAGTCCACATTATATTATCTTTTTTGAAGCACTCTGTGGACACATTTAAAAGACTCCAATACAATGAAATAATTGTAGGCCTTTTGCTTTTTTTCTGTAAAAATGTCAAAAACGCCTCCTCGGTCAATTGTTGACCAACTTTGACAATTAATTACTGGCGATCTACTTGGGTTACACCGATATTTTGTATGTCCACGGAGAGCCCAAAGCACGCTCTTTATATTTATTATAAAATTCTCTGGCTGTATAAATAATCTTTTTCGGTACGTTTACGTTAATATTATGCAAAAACCAAAAAGTACCATTTTTGAAATTGATTTTCTCAAAAAACCCATTTTTTATTTTTTTTATTTTTTGTTAAAATGTAGATATGATAGTTGTCTACACGAAAATCAAGCCTAGAAAGTGTATATTTTGTTTGCATGTTTTATATTTAGGCCTCAATATCGGAAAAAGACGTCTTTGTTTTGCAAGACCTAAGTCAGACATAGCGACCCATGCGTCTCTATGAATTGTGAAAAAATTTTCTTAAGTTTTCTTCTGCATTTTGTAATCAATTATAAACAGATTTTGTGGTATTGAATATTTATGTATGTTTTGATAAGAGTGGGAACCATGAGATAAATATCTAACCAAATCAGCAGGCCTAGTATACTTTCAATACCCAAAAGGCACAGACGTTGTATTGTTTCGATTTATAAACCTTTCAAAGTAAACTAGCACGACTAGCTATTAGCTGTTATATTACTAAGACAAAGAAAGTCACCACATCGTCGATATATTATATACAATTCTTTACGAAGCCAAACACTGCGGCTTGTTCACCGCACATCGCACGGGTCACCAGGGAATGTCCTTTCACTTCCGTAATACACAAAAGTGGTGACGCAGAAACGGTCCGAAACACACAGAGAGTGTGTCATGGAGAGGGGTAGGAAATAAAAATAAATAAATAGGAATAAAATTGCCCAACTCCGATCTTAACGAAAATTGCGTTAAAAAATATAATAAAGTATTTAGGTTCGAGCGGTGGCAAGGCGATAGGTCCTCCCCTGGTGGAGAGTCAGACAAAGAAGTCGACGGCACGTAAAGGTAAAACAAAAAGAAATTTAATAAAGACGGGAAAACTCAGCCGCACATGACAAGAACAAAAACCAACTCCCCCGGGCATTCCCTAAACTGGACGCAACCAAATGCGTGCGAACATGCTCTCTACATCACCGCCAGGCCGCTACGCCATGACGAAATAAACCCAGCAACTGAACAGGGCTAACAAACAATTAGTAAGAAAACATTGAAAAAAAAACAGAAAACGTTCAGAAAAAACCGCACCCGAGAAACAAAGTTCAGCGGGGCGAAGAAACACACACGAGTCGGTCCCACGACATTGAAGTCTGGTAGGATGACGGCGTCCAGATGAAGCTCGAATCTGTTCCTCCCTCTATTACGGACATCCACGACGGCTGTGCGGAACAGTGGCTGTACGAAAGAAAGTGAAGAATAGATTCGAGCAGGCGATGCGCGAGAAGGTAACCGAGACTATGCTTCAAGCTTCATATCGAGAGAGGAGCTTTCGAGCTAGTTTCTGCAGTTACTCAAACTTTCTCTTTCCCTTTCCCTTTTTTAAAAGAACACGTCAGCCGGCGCTAACGTTTCATCTCGGGAGAAGCCCACTCTTCACAAACGGTTATAGTTGACAAGGAGGCTGACTTCGACCAAACTAGTCTCCGGGTAGAATACAAACACAAGTATATTTACCAACACGCTCGTTTTAATGTCAGTCTCCGGGCTTTGCTGTTTCAAAAGAGATAACCCTTTATAAGGACAAAACGAGCGGGTTGGTGGGGATAATTAAACTTAAACACTCCCTTCTCGTTTTCTTCCTCAAGTTTAATAGATAACCCTTCGGTGCTATCGGATCTCCCCGGAGAGAGAGAGAGAGAGCATGGCCGTTTCAAGGTAAGGATAGGGCGCTCGAAGCTACGGCAAACAGGCGGTATCGTTTCACGCATGCACGGATGACTGGTTTCAAATTTCCCCACATCCCTAATGAAACCGGGACATCTTCGTGTGTGCGTCTGCGGGATTTCTGTCCCGCGCCGCCGGTTTTAGCGCGCACGTGGCGTTGTTTTGGCTGGCAGAACAGTTGTTGACCGTCGACATTGTAAGGCCGTGGTGTCCTCATCCTTTCAGGCAACGATTCCTTTGCTTTCCCTTGTGCAATACTCTGACAGACTCCTCCTGGGTGGCTGTCACTGTTCGCCGCGTCAACGACAGAATCGTACCATTTCACTCCTCGTGACACAGAGTGCGCTGCTCGCTTTACTGTCACGGGCCGTCCCATCTAACACAACGAGCGCGAAAGGTCGTGGTCATCTGCTGGCTCCGAAAGGGCGGGACGTTCATGCAGGCCAATGAGGGCTCCGAATCAATAAGAAGTCTGCCGACTCCTACACGTTAAAAATTTACGACACCTGCTGGTCTGTTAAGAAGTGTTGCATTCTCTTTTTGGAACTCCTCCGATGTAGCTTGCCGCCTATAATAAAATTTAAATAATCAATAAATATATCAGGGTGGAAATACTGTATTTCATTTTTATGTGGGAACGTTGAAAAAAAGAGAAAAACTATTTTCAAGCTTGTGAAGACGCGCAATTCGCAAGTTCATTTCGAGCCATAAAAACACGTTTTTGTACGATATTGATGCTTAAATGTAGAACATACAAACAAAATATACACTTTCTAGGCTTGATTTTCGTGTAGACAACTATCATATCTATATTTCAACAAAAAATAAAAAAAATAAAAAATGGGTTTTTTGAGAAAATCAATTTTAAAAATGGTACTTTTTGGTTTTTTTTATAATATTAACGTAAACGTACCGCAAAGGATTATTTATACAGCCAAGGCATTTTATAATAAATATAAAGAGCGTGTTTTGGGCTCTCCGTGGACATCAAAAATATCGGTGTAACCTAAGTAGATCGCCAGTAATTAATTGTCAAAGTTTGTCGACAATTGACCGAGAAGGCGTTTTTGACATTTTTACAGAAAAAAAGCAAAAGGCATAAAATTATTTCATGGTATTGGAGCCTTTTAAATGTGTCCACAGAGTGCTTCAAAAAAGATTATATAATGTGGACTGAAAATCCATGGCGGGAGATCAAGCGAAACATCCGACCCACGACGGGTGTGAAAAACACTGATTTTCGTCGCGGCCTCTTTAAAAATGCATAAGTCGAGAACAAAAATCCGACGAATTTTCGGTTTGTGTCGACTGCGGTTTTAGAAACGGCGCCATAACATATATTTTTTTCATCTAAATTAAAAATTGGACCCTTTTTGCCGGCACGATTTGAGATGAAACCACCCATATATATATGGGTGGTTTCATCTCAAATCGTGCCGGCAAAAAGGGTCCAATTTTTAATTTCGATGAAAAAAATATATGTTATGGCGCCGCTTCTAAAACCGCAGTCGACACAAACCGCAAGTTCGTCGGATTTTTTGTTCTCGACTTATGAATTTTTAGAGGCCGCGGCGAAAAGCAGTGTTTTTCACACCCGTCGTGGGTCGGATGTTTCGCTTGATCTCCCGCCATGGATTTTCAGTCCACATTATATTATCTTTTTTGAAGCATTCTGTGGACACATTTAAAAGGCTCCAATACCATGAAATAATTGTAGGCCTTTTGCTTTTTTTCTGTAAAAATGTCAAAAACGCCTTCTCGGTCAATTGTCGACAAACTTTGACAATTAATTACTGGCGATCTACTTGGGTTACACCAATATTTTTTATGTCCAAGGAGAGCCCAAAACACGGTCTTTATATTTATTATAAAATGGTTTGGCTGTATAAATAATCCTTTGCGGTACGTTTACGTTAATATTATGCAAAAACCAAAAAGTACCATTTTTGAAATTGATTTTCTAAAAAAAAACATTTTTTATTTTTTTATTTTTTGTTCAAATGTAGATATGATAGTTGTCTACACGAAAATCAAGCCTAAAAAGTGTATATTTTGTTTGCATTTTTTACATTTAGGCCTCAATATCGGCAAAAGACGTCTTTGTTTTGCAAGACGTCTTTTTCCGATCAATCTTTTTCCGTCAGACATAGCGACCCATGCGTCTCTATGAATTGCGAAAAAGTTTTCTTGAAATTTCTTCTGCATTTTGTAATCAATTATAAACAGATTTTGTGGTATTGAATATTTATGTATGTTTTGATAAGAGTGGGAACCATGAGATACATATCTAACCAAATCAGCAGGCCTAGTAGACTTTCAATAACCAAAAGGCACAGACGTTGTATTGTTTCGATTTATAAACCTTTCAAAGTAAACTAGCACGACTAGCTATTAGCTGTCATATTACTAAGACAAAGAAAGCCACCACATCGTCGATATATTATATACAATTCTTTACCAAACCAAACACTGGGGCTTGTTCACCGCACATCGCACTGGTCACCAGGGAATGTCCTTTCACTTCCGTAATACACAAAAGTGGTGACACAGAAACTGTCCGAAACACACAGAGGGTGTGTCATGGACAGGGGTAGGAGATAAAAATAAATAAATAGGAATTAAATTGCCCAACTCCGATCTTAACGAAAATTGCGTTAAAAAAAATAAATAAAGTATTTAGGTTCGAGCGGTGGCAAGGCGATAGGTCCACGCCTGGTGGAGAGTCAGACAAAGAAGTCGACGGCACGTAAAGGTAAAACAAAAAAATCAATAATTTAATAAAGACGGGAAAACTCAGCCGCACATGGCAAGAACAAAAACCAACTCCCCCGGGCATTCCCTAAACGGGACGCAACCAAATGCGTGCGAACACGCTCTCTACATCACCGCCAGGCCGCTACGCCATGACGAAATAAACCCAGCAACTGAACAGTGCTAACAAACAGATAGTAAAAAAAACATTGAAAAAAAAAAAGTTCAGAAAAAACCGCACTCGAGAAACAAAGTTCAGCGGGGCGAAGAAACACACACGAGTCGGTCCCACGACATTGAAGTCTGGCAGGATGACTGCGTCCAGATGATGCTCGAATCTGTTCCTCCCTCTATTACGCACATCCACGACGGCTGTGCGGAACAGTGGCTGTACGAAAGAAAGTGAAGAATAGATCCGAGCAGGCGATGCGCGAGAAGGTAACCGAGACTATGCTTCAAGCTTCATATCGGGAGAGGAGCTTTCGAGGTAGTTTCTGCAGTTACTCAAACTTTCTCTTTCCCTTTCCCTTTTTCAAAAGAACACGTCAGCCGGCGCTAACGTTTCATCTCAGGAGAAGCCCACTCTTCACAAACGGTCATAGTTGACAAGGAGGCTGACTTCGACCCAACTAGTCTCCGGGCAGAATACAAACACAAATATATTTACCAACACGCTCGTTTTAATGTCAGTCTCCGGGCTTTGCTGTTTCCAAAAGAGATAACCCTTTATAAGGACAGAACGAACGGGTTGGTGGGGATATATAAACTTAAACACTCCCTTCTCGTTTTCTTCCTCAAGTTTAATAGATAACCCTTCGGTGCTATCGGATCTCCCCGGAGAGAAAGAGAGAGAGCACGGCCGTTTCAAGGTAAGGATAGGGCGCTCGAAGCTAGGGCAAACAGGCGGTATCGTTTCACGCATGCACGGATGGCTGGTTTCAAATTTCTTCACATCCCTAATGAAACCGGCCCATCTTCGTGTGTGCGTCTGCGGGATTTCTGTCCCGCGCCGCCGGTTTTAGCGCGCACGCGGCGTTGTTTTGGCTGGCAGAACAGTTGTTGACCGTCGACATTGTAAGGCCGTGGTGTCCTCATCCTTTCAGGCAACGATTCCTTTGCTTTCCCTTGCGCAATACTCTGACAGACTCCTCCTGGGTGGCTGTCACTGTTCGCCGCGTCAACGACAGAATCGTACCATTTCACTCCTCGTGACACAGGGTGCGCTGCTCGCTTTACTTTCACGGGCCGTCCCATCTAACACAACGAGCGCGAAAGTTCGTGGTCATCTGCTGGCTCCGAAAGGGCGGAACGTTCATGCAGGCCAATGAGGGCCCCGAATCAATAAGACGTCTGCCGACTCCTACGCGCTAAAAATTTACGACACCTGCTGGTCTGTTAAGAAGTGTTGCTTTCTCTTTTTGGAACTCCTCCGATGTAGCTTGCCGCCTATAATAAAATTTAAATAATCAATAAATATATCAGGGTGGAAATACTGTATTTCATATTTATGTGGGAACGTTGAAAAAAATAAAAAAAAACTATTTGCAAGCTTGTGAAGACGCGCAATTGGCAAGTCCATTTCGAGCCGTAAAAACACATTTTTGTACGATATTGATGGTTAAATGTAGAACATACAAACAATATATACACTTTCTAGGCTTGATTTTCGTGTAGAAAACTATCATATCTACATTTGAACAAAAAATAAAAAAATAAAAAATGGGTTTTTTGAGAAAATCAATTTCAAAAATGGTGCTTTTTGGTTTTTTTATAATATTAACGTAAACGTGCCGCAAAGGATATTTTATACAGCCAAGTATTTTATAATAAATATAAAGAGCGTTTTTCGGGCTCTCCGTGGACATAAAAAATATCGGTGTAACCCAAGTAGATCGCCAGTAATTAATTGTCAAAGTTTGTCAACAATTGACCGAGGAGGCGTTTTTGACATTTTTACAGAAAAAAAGCAAAAGGCCTAAAATGATTTCATGGTATTGGAGCCTTTTAAGTGTGTCCACAGAGTGCTTCAAAAAAGATAATATAATGTGGACTGAAAATCCATGGCGGGAGATCAAGCGAAACATCCGACCCACGACGGGTGTGAAAAACACTGATTTTCGCCGCGGCCTCTTTAAAACTTCCTAAGTCGAGAACAAAAAATCCGACGAACTTGCGGTTTGTGTCGACTGCGGTTTTAGAAACGGCGCCATAACATATATTTTTTTCGTCGAAATTAAAAATTCGACCCTTTTGGCCAGCACGATTTGATATGAAACCACCCATATATATATATATATATATATATATATATATATATATATATATATATATATATATTCAATTTCGCTTGCTAAAGACTTTACGTTGCTGAACTCCAGATATAATTTAATGAGGATAACCCTTAGCGGCCGCCCCTTCCTTAGATGTGTATAGCACACCATACCTGCGACGCATTATGCAGCTCACCCGCCCGGTCTTTGCACAAAGTTTGCTTCCGCGATTTTGAAAACATATAAACATCTATACCGATAGTACAGTATTTGATTAAAGAAAATATATTTTCAGGATGCACCATTCGCTGTGGTATCTGCACGTCCGAAAAAGTAACCGTTCAATCGGTTCGAGGATTGGACGATAAATCATCCGCACTACTTATTGCCCATGAATTGGGTCACCAGTAAGTATTTCCTTATGAATGCCTCATCTCAATACTACTTAAATATCATTTCGCCCATAAAGTAATTTAAAATAGCCGTTTCGTTCTTGGCATAATAGTATCCTATGCGCTCTCTAGCTTATTAACACAACGAAAGAAAGACATCTGGAAATCGTTTAGGTTAATAACTTTGTATCGAACGGGTTTTTATTGCGGTTTTCTTTGCATCAGGTTAGGCAGATTGTACATGGTTTCGTTTCCGCGGAGTGAGGCGTGCGAACCGTCGGATGGGTTGCTGTTTCTAGCATGCTCGAACTGGTTCAAACAAGGTCGTATCTATACCCTAGACTCGGGCCATCCATGCATTATCGAAGGCATCCCCAGTATTCCTGGTCACGGTCTCCTTGCACCCTCTTCTGGCTATTTCCAGCAGAACGCAGTAAAATGATAATTTTAGCCAAACTACTGCAGAAATCCTTCAGTTCCTCGGGATATCTACAGAGGGCACTGATACAGTCTTATTTAATACCCACTTGAACCTCAGGATTGTATACGTTTTATCCCTGGGCCCGATATAATATTGTTGCAGTGTGTCCTAAAGGCCTCTTCGGCAAAATTTTAAATTTCTTCTCACTGAAATGAAGAATCGTAAAGTTCGGGAGGAATATAATAACTTCCGACTTATAGTACACACCTCAGTTGAAATTTCGGTATGTTAATTAAGACGGTTTATTCCTCGAGAGTTTCAAATTCGGCCCGCTTTATACCCCTCTAAAGTTAGCACTCCGCCGTGCACCGAGCAGCTTACGGCCACGGTACCTTTACATAGGCTTATCCAAAAAGAAATTTGTACCTTGCGTTTGTGACAGCATATTGACTAAGAATGTGGCGGTTATAATATGGCTTTACAAAAATACAATACGCCTCGCAAGTGGGCTCATTTTCGTCTTCTGCGCATGAGAAAGGAAGTAGCGGTGACGTCAGAACGCCGAGCCCTGATTGGCTGATCGCGCCCCCCTATCTGAGCGTCGTCTGCTCCTTTGCAACGTCGTCTGCTCGCAACGTCGTCTGCGTCTGTCTCACCTTTCCTGCGACTTTCAGAAGTGCAGGTCTTTACATGCGAGCTCGACTTCGCCTTTCACAGAGGGCAGACGAAATGACTCGAGCGGTACGTTGGTTTTGTCTAACAACTAGCAGACGCGCATCAAGGGGGAATTCAAAGGACTCACTGGCGAGGCGTCCCGAGGCGCCGAGGTTTGTTTACTAAGAACCGGGAGGTGAGCGTGCAAGTTCCCTCCCAAATACTTTGTCCCTCCTTTCGTGTGCGGCGAGACCCCCCATTCTTTAACAGCGTCGGCGGGTTGGCGCAGTTGGCGTCGTCTGCTCTACGCCTGCTAGTCAAAGCGATGGCTGCTTTACCTTTCCTGCGTCTGTCGGAGATTCACCGCTTTTTCACCGGCGAGAGTTACCGTGGCCTCGGGAAACAAGGAGATAACAAGAGGAAGAAATTGACCTCTTAATCCAAAAGTGAGGTCAGCGATCAAAGTATAATACGGGAAGGGTTCACAAGGGTCGCGCGGGCATATTCCATTCAGCACGCCAGCCGGTCGTGGGCAGACGGTCGCCGAGTCCGGGAGTGCCTGCTAGGCCTAACTGCAATGCTCGCTTGGTCGCGTTCGGTGGAATCATGGCCGTTGGAGCTTTTCCCGGGTGTTTGTGGATCCAGCGTTCTTGTTCGTCGTGGTCTGTTTCAAGTACTTTTTGCTTTTTTCTTGCTGCTTGAAGTCGGGACGCATGAGAAGCGCACATAGAAGAATAAACGTCCGTGGGTCGTCGCGACCGCGACGCTGTCGGCCATGCTGATTTGATCGTAAGAAGTGCGTACGACAGCTTCAAAGCTGTCGTAGGATTTCGTCGTAACCTGCGCAAAACTTGCGAAAATTTCGTTTCGTGAATACAAATTTGTTCTTAAGTTATGGCTTACGCATATTTTTGGCGTAAGTACGTTTCCTGCGACTTACGAAAGTCGCAGGAGAGGTAAGACAGACGCAGACGACGTTGCGAGCAGACGACGTTGCAAAGGAGCAGACGATGCTCAGATAGGGGGGCGCGATCAGCCAATCAGGGCTCGGCGTTCTGACGTCACCGCTACCCCCTGCGCAAGAAGCAGACGAACTTGCCCTCCGCATACAAGGGTCACAGACACTTGTAATGTATATATTTTGCTTTGAATTTGCCTGTGTACGTAAAGTTTTAGCTCGGTTACAGACACAAACTGAAAAAAATTCTTTCAGGCGTGTCCAACTGAAAACAACTAGAAATAACTAGAGATATAACTGGAGCGGCGCGCCGCCGGCCGTTCGATTGTGTGTCTTTTTATCCATCTTATTTGATTTATACGTATATACGCGTATAAATAAAGGACACAACGACGACGGCGTTGAGAGGATGACACACCGGGCGACGGTGGTGCCTCAATCTGAGCCCTGGTCCCTCGGAAGCGGCGGCTTCTACTTTGACTGGGCTATCTCCATGGAGCCTGATGCTTCAACCCGAGTGGACCCCAGTGCGCAACAGCGCCTTTATGTCCCTGGGGCTCCTTCATGCCCCGATCGAACGGCGTGACAGATCCCCATGCCTGGCAGCTGAACCGCCCAAACCACCTCCACGAAATCTAGACTTCTGCGAATCGGACTGCCATCTTCCCCAATACCAACAATCCATGTCGTCCTCATTATGCATGTATATACTAATCACATTATCATGTTCACTAGACGCGGCACCGCGGGCCTCTATAGTACGGGCTGCTGCCATTCCACGGTGCCGCGGCTCTCCGGAGCCAAATAAATAAGAACTGAAAAGTAGGGACTAAAACAAAATGCTTTGCTGACCAACAGACGGTAGCGCCCTAAAACAAGGAATAATAGTGTTTCCTCGTTTAGAGGATACAAATTCCAAAACTACACCATACTAGTGGCGCACGTCGCTGAAATAATATACGCAATACAGAAAATGACAGATTGTCTCTTGAACGGAAAATGGCAAAATACACATAATTGGGGAGATTTGTTTTGTTTCTAAAAGCCAAATTCAGAAACCTAGACAAAACTAATGTTTGCTGAAACTCGGGGTATATTGTGTGCATCGTTTCGACAAAGTGTCTAACGAAAACACCACGCAACACATTTGTCGTTGTTTCACACCTCGAGCCTTGCGCTGGCGCACCGACCGCTGGCGTAGCATAGTGGGCAGTCGTAAAATGTTAGCGACTGATGATGGTGATAGCTTATTCGCACCCCCCTCCCCTCCCCCCCCCCCCCCCAAAAAAAAAAGAGGAAGGCTTGGCGTGGATCTTTCCTCCGTCAGGGCTTTACTTGGCGCTGTAGGAGTTCTGTCTAATGCGAATGAGTGGAGTGGAACGTATTCCACCCAGTAAAGTATTTGGCCAGACGCATACGGTGGTGAAAAGGGTGGGAGACCAGACAGATGCACAGGAGAGGAGGTTGGGATAGCAGTCGCACGCTTCGAATTCTTCGTTTATCTTGCTCTAGGGTGCCGACATTGTTTCGTTTTACGTTATTTTACGAAAGGCACAGATGGACAACCTTTCGTGCCGGAGTCAGACTGAAGACTGACGTCTCGTTTATTAAATCTAAAACGAAATAAAAGAAAGGCGCCTCTGGTACGGGGCGCTCAGGTTACGCGCGAAGCGGCGGGATGGGGCTCCGCGCGCGAACGGTTGCTCTCGCTCGGTCGCTTTGGACTTTGGAGCTCGCTAGCGTCGGCGCGTCGGCGACCTCCATAACATTCCTCTTTCTAAGGGAGCTTCGAAGAAGAGCCGAAACGGTCTGGCTCCTTTACACACCGGCCATGACGAGAATGTTTGTAGGAGGTGTCGGCACACGTTTCCTCGGGCCTCGTGGTTGTTTCGGGGAACTCTTCGATGCATTGTTTATCTTGTTCGTCGGGGAAAGAAATTAAATGCGTGCGATTTCTTCGGATTTGCTGACCCTTAGACGTTATCCAGTAAGATCGTGGTGTATGGGCCTTGTTCTGAACAACTCCGGTTCGCTTGAGGTCAATGACATAAACTCGCTCTCCAGAGCCCAGTGGATCGAGTTGACGCACTCCGTGTCGGTTCCTATTTTCTTGCTCATAGCGACGCAGTTCTTTTTGATCGGGTAGCTTTGGTTCCAGGAGCTGAGTGGCGATCGGTACGGTTGTACGCATCCTTCTCCCCATGAGAAGTTCTGTCGGACTGTATCCGTTGGGCAGAGGCTTTGAACGGTAGATCATGAGTGTCTCGTACGGACCTTCCGTTTTGCTGAGTGATCTCTTTATGATCTTCACTGCAGCCTCCGCCATCCCATTGCTCTGCGCGTAGCGAGGGCTTGATGTGATGTGCGTAAATCTGTAGGTCTGTGAGAACTTTGTGAATGCTGAACCTGTGGTTTCCGCAAACTGAGGACCATTATCAGACACCACTACTTCTGGGATGCCATGCCTCGCAAATATCGATTTGCAGTGCATTATTACGCACGCTGCTGTGAGGCTTTCCAGTCGGGCGATTTCGGGGTAGCGAAAGTAGTAGTCGACGACGACTAGCCACCATTTCCCGTGAATGAAGAACAGGTCCATCGCTACTCTCTCCCACGGTCGACTAGGAAACTCTGACGGGATGAGGGGCAGCTTTCGGTTCTGGCCAGTTTTAATGCACTTTTCGCAGTTCTTGACCAGGCGCTCGATATGATCGTTTATTCTCGGCCACCACACCGATACATTTGCCCGTGCTTTGCATTTTCCTATGCCCATGTGTCCTTCATGAAGTTGTTGCACGATATGTGGAGGGCAGGATTCTGGTACCACTATTCTAGAACCATTCATGAGAAGGCTGTTTTGCACGGCAATGTGATGACGGTACTCGTAGTACTCTTTGAGGTCTGTTCCGAGATCTCGACGATTTGGCCAACCTTTATGGCTGTAGCTGGCGAGTCTTAGGCAAACATGGTCTTTGTTTTGATCTGCCGTTATCCATTGGAGACTCGTTTACGTTGCTGGTAGGGACGTCTCTATGTGTCGAATGAAGCAATCGATTTCTTCTTGCATCTCTCTGTCTTGCCGCTGTGGCAGAGGGCTTCTTGACAACGAGTCAGCTGCTTCGAGTTCCTTGCCTGGAACGTGGACAACTTCGAATGAGTAGCGCATTAAACGCATGCGCGGTCTCTGAAGCCTTGGGGTTAGGTTGTCCAATGACTTTAATCCGAACAAAGAAATGAGTGGTTTGTGGTCGGTTTCCAGTACAAAGTGCGTTCCCACGATGTAATCTCGGAATGTTTCGCATGCCCACGTGAGTGCCAAATTTTCTTTTTCAATTTGGGCGTACCTCTTCTCTGTTTCGGTGAGTGCTCTGGACGCATAGGCAATGACACTATATGATCCATCCTCCTGCTCTTGACGCAGCACTGCTCCCAGGCCGTAGGATGACGCATTTGCCGATACAATCGATCGCTTGTTGGCGTCTTAAATTCCGAGAACGGGGCAGGTTGAGAGGATTTCCTTCCACTTTGCGAAGGCTTTCTGATGAGGATGATCCCACACGAAGTCCACTTTGGAACTGAGCAGTGACGATAGTGGATGCAGTAGGTCAGACAGGTTTGGCACGAATCGTCCTAGGTATGTCGCCATACCCATGATGCTCTTGACTTCTTGCTTTGAAGTCGGTATGGGCATCTGTTTCTCTGCGTTGACGATTGTCTCGTCTGGACGGACACCATCGCTGTCTCCTTGATGACCTAGGAACTTGATACTTGTCACTTGAAAGACGCATTTTTCCTCGTTGAGCGTGGGTCTTGCTGATGAGAGTCTCTTGAGGACTTCTCGCAGACGTTGCTCGTGCTGCTCGGGCGATGACGCCCATATCAAGATATCGTCCATGTGGCAAAGTACTCCTTCCATTCCTTGGAGAAGTTGTGTGATACGTCTCTGGAAGTGTTCCGGTGCTGACGTGATTCCGAATGGTAGGCGATTAAAACAAAACCTTCCAAACGGAGTGATGGATGTCGTCAGGAGTCGTGACTTCTCGTCTAGAGGGATCTGCCAAAACCCAGAATTCGCGTCCAGCTTTGAGAAGATCTTGGCTCCCGATGGCCTTCCCAGCGTGTGCTCCACTGATGGGATGGGGTGATATTCGCGCTGAATGTGTTTGTTCAGTTGTGTAAGATCAACACAAATGCGAATTTCGCCAGCCGTTTTGGGGACGATGACCATCGGCGCGCACGATTCAGTAGGTTCTTCTCAGTCTTGGGTAAGTTACTTTTAAAAAGTAATTCGTTACAGTTACAGTTACTTTCAGAAAAAAGTAGCGAAGTTACCGTTACAGTTACCGCAACAAAAGAGTAACTCGTTACAGTTACTGTTACTTTTAAGAAGTAAAGACGTTACTTTTCAGTTACTTTTCTATAACACCAAAAAATAGGAAAAACTAGAAAACGCCCCTCACCAAGCTTTATTGCATAAAATAAACAGTAGGCTTTTTACTTCATATTCTAACTTTGCAGAAGTTGGTTCTCAAAACTAGTGTTTGAAAATTTTCACGCAAGAGTAGTGGCGCAAATCAAAATACGAAACATGCGCAGTGTGGAGCTCAGGCGCTAGTCAAAACACAAAACATGTGCAGTGACCTCCGCGTGTATCGTTGTTCCACAATTGAGTCACCCGATTAAAAAGCGTTTTCACACAAAAAAGAAAAACCACAGAATAAATAGTGCTTCAAGACACTAAGATGTAAGTGTTCAGTCACAAAGTACAAGCGCGTGCGTGAATATAACTAGATTTTTTTTCATGATATCTACACGTGGCTATATTCGGGTCGTGACTCGTGAGAAAGAACGTATTCACAAGTTTGTGCAAGGCCAACTTGACAGGGTCACTTTGTGTCCGGGCGGGCAGGGGTGACCTGGACGTCCAGGTCACCCTCCAGGTCACCCCTGCCCGCCCGGCCACAAAGTGACCCTGCGCCCCCTCTCAAGAAGCTACAACCGTCACCCCGCCGTCCTTGAAACTTGGTCCCGACCGTCAAGCTTCTTCACCCGGATTAGAACTGCTCTTGGCTTCTCTCTCACGAAAGCTCCTTTTGAAAGATGTGGTTGTGCTGTCCCTGTTTTAATTGTTTTATTCTTTCTTCATCCATGTCCAACTGTCACTCCGTCGAAGTTTGGACTCGACCGTAGCATTGTATAAATACCACCCGCGTTCACCTGTAAAAGTTCTTCCTGACTCCGGCCGCACTCCGGCCGAAACGTCGAAGATTAAATCGTCCGTTGTTGCTGTTTTCACTAAGGGTTCTTTTCTTATTCTCTCTCTCTCTATATATATATACATATATATATATATATATTTGCGAATGATAATAACTGAAGCAATGTTACCACACTACTTCTTGCTTAAAAACAGTCTCATAAATAAAATTATCTTTTAAACAAAATTAAAATATATAAATACTTACGCCCAAGGACGTTTAAAAATTATTTTTTGAAAAATACTTCCATCACGAGAAAACAATTAACTTATTTTAAGTGAAGAGTAAAATATGATTTTATTTTCCTTCAGTTTTTTTTTCACTATCTATAATGCATGAGTTTGAATACCTTGCCTTCTTGTCAAGCCAGGAAAAGAAACAAGTAACGCTAAATGTCCATTCTCATTCGGCGGATGCTTTTTATAGTTATTTATTCATGTGCTCCACAACCTTATGAATGCGTCTCTGTGTCCGTAAAAAAGCTGACCAGAGAACACCAGTAAAACGTAAGGTTTATTGTTCAAATATTGAAACTAATAACAACGCACATTTAATAGGAACTAGAATGACAAGTTTCAAGTAAAACAAAAAAAACAAAAAAAAACGTTATCTGGTTTGAACTGAATGTGGTACTGACATGTTTGTCTGCGGCATCTGTAGCAAAACGAATTTAAACATACGCATTTTTTTAGAAGTACACATATTCACGCTTTTATTAACAAACTTTGACAGTATCTTTTAGTTTGAACGATGAAAATGCTCGTGTTACTTAAGGTTATACGTCATTATTAAAAACGGCGCAAAAGGACGGTACAAAATTAGAACGAGCAAAACAGGTCAGACGCAGGAGAGACCTTTTGTGCTCCTACTTTTGTCCTGTCTTATTGCGATGTTTTAATAATGTTGCTCAGCAAGCAACTAGCGTAGAAATCCACCGTTTCACAAAATATATGCAATACACTCAAGGCAGCGTAAGACGCCTACGCTTGGACGGAGTTGGACATCAAGGGCTCGTTATTGTATACATGTTATGCTTCCGGTTAGTACACACTAATTGTGAAAACGAAAAGAAAAGAGTGTGTTATCGCAACGCATAAAAATTGCAAACTTAATTCTGCGTGCGTGCTCCGGCGATTATGACAGCATCCGTTAATTCCTCAACTTAGTCGCAAAACCGTAACAATTCCAAAATCTTACCACAAAAAAAAAAAGAAAGACCGAGGCGTTATATTTGTTTTTGCCAGATAAAAAGTATTTTCTACCCGGCGCCGTCTGCCTTAAATTTGGAAAAAAAAAATATAACATAAATCCGGTTTTGAAAACGTTTCTAGAAAAAAATACGCGTTTTTTTTCCTTTGGTGACCTTTATGCCCTATTCTAGGCACAAGCCTATGCAAAATAGAGGTCATAGAGCCGATTAAAAAAACCCAGAAGCCAAGTACAGTACTCGCAGGCGAGGTCCCGAGTGTACCGTACTTCAAGTCACCGTTTGAAAAACAGCGTAACCTAGTTAACTCAAAAAGAAGGAAAAGCTGTGAAAACTTTGCTTTAAATAAACAAAAAAGTGTTCGGAAACTGTATCTTTAAAATATAATTAAAAAAAAAAAACATTTCATCCAACATTTTAAAACCTTACCTCGTTTAGCCGTACAACGGACTCCAACACCGCAATGAGCCATCCCTGCAGTTCAGCGCTGCGAACGTCTAGACTACGCGCATGCTGATCGCAGCATATCTCACGAAGGTCCTGTGTCAGTCACATGACATTTAATTGAAACTAATGCCTCATAGCACCTTTCAAATGCATCGACTGTTCGGAAGGAGGAAAACCGGCGAGAAGTCTCCGGGGGCTCGATGTTCGGCTACGGTATAGATCTTTTTCCAGTTCAACGCAATTCCGATCTCTCATATGGTTCGCAAATCGGGTCCCGGTTTGGTCTGAGATTGTTATTAAAAGGTACTGTACAGAAGCTTATTTTTTTGGGTGATGTGCTGTTCATGCTTTTGTTCCTGACTTTTGTTTCTTACAATATGCAGATTGGGAATGGCACACGAAGGAGAAGGTACTGGATATGCAGGTCTTAAATGTGGTCTGGGGGCAGGATATGTGATGGCCCCTGCAATGAATATGCCTGGACGCTCACCATTTTCTCGCTGCGTCTACGAACAGATGAAGAACTGCCTAATGTAAGATATTATATATTGCTCGCAACTGAAATTCTCCAAGATAGTGGATAGTCGTTGAGCATCAGGTTATAAACTTGCTTTTCTTAAAATCATTGCTGCCTTACTTTGGTAGAGAATGTCAGAAAAAAAATACAAGTGAAAAGATGGGAAAAGGTGAGCGACGTGGAAGGGTTGTGATTATCATTGTCTTGTTGGCAGGTTAGGTTTAGTCTGTCAGCAGTAGTAGTTGTGATTGACAGATTTGTAAGCATAAGTAAATTTGATGGTACTGAGAGTGCGCTATGTACGCCAAAGTATGCAGAATTCAAAAAAGGAAAAAAAATAAAACAGAGGCAAATCGATCCGCCATCCGGCGTAAGATTGGTCGGTGTATCATTCCATTGGCTTCCTAGCATCGACACTCCAACAAAGCCCGCCCTCGAGTATGCAGTTTTTTTTTCACTGTCAAGATTTGTTTTCTTCAAAAAGCAACATATTTTTAGTGTTGTCTTTAGCCATCTAGTAAATTGTTTTAATGCTGGCCGCTTAGACGATGACAAACTGGATTAGCAGCTGGCGACTAAATTATAAACTTTAAACATTTTGTGTAATTTACGCTTTTAATTTTTTGTAAGCGTGGGGGATCTACTATTCACAGCCTTATACTGTAGACGTGAGGTTTAATAGACATTTTTGCAAAGACTGCCATCTATTGGAAGCCGCTCAATCCATGATCAATCGCGGAGTAAAACCTTACGCCACAGCACAGTTTATGTGTTGGGTTGGATTAGAAGGCAAAACACGCACACACAGAAAAAGCTAATGAGCGAAGTGACGCTGCGCTTTTGACGATGTTTCATTGGCTCGTACGCTCCTAGCATCGACTGCGCTATGACGTTCGCTATCTTATTGAATGACTTGCACTTTCCATGATGTCAGGTATTTGACCATTGTACAGTGGTTCCGACCTTCTAATAATTGGCATGTGACTTTCGAAAGGGGCTTATTTTATCTATACGTTTGCATGTTTTTGGCTGGTAGGCCTCGGGGTCAGTATATGTGAATACTTTGTTGCAATTCATGTTTCAGTCTGAGAGAGGATGAAATGAAAAGCTAAGAACTTTTTTATTTTGGATTTGTAAGCTTTCGGGCATAAATTGTGTATGGTTTGTGTTACAGGCGAAATTTTAGAATGATGTTCGATTTTGGGAACAAAAGCTTTATCATTAGGTGTTTCGATACATTTACTCACTTTTTTAGGATTATTGAAGTCTAAAGCAGACAAAAAATACAATGTTGCCAAAAAAAGCTTTTAAATAGTAGCATTAAAATATTTAAAATGTCATGTAATATTTTCTGCAAAGAGCGAAACCTCTGTTTAATTTTATTATGTTGGCAACCTGGGGGTTTACACGTGTCTTCAAGAAAACATGATGTTTAAATCCTAGTCTATCACGAAACAGTGGCGGGGCATTGTTTAAGTGAAGGACACGTGTTTTAAGTTGTAGTACCCTGGTGAATCTTTTGTAAGTTTTGTACAGTTTGGTGGACAATTGTAACTGACGTTTTTTTTTGTAAGCTGCTGCAGACACTGAGATATAGACCGACACAGACAACTAAAAAAACAGAAGTGAAGGAAACAAAAAAATCGCAAAACAGGGTTTATAAGTGTAATTATTGTAATAATAAGGTAAAGACAATAAAATAAAACTACACTGAAGTCGTTTATTGTAAAGGTTAATTTCTCCGGACACAGCACAGTTCGGAAGTCAATATACGCACCTCGATTCTGTGTACATAACATTCTCGTTTCTTGATCACGTGTTTTCAATTATCTAGGGTCATTTTGTGCCCGGAACATGATATTTTCGGTATGAATATCAGAACATAAACTACACTAAAGCAGGAGTGTTCAAGACTTGAGTTTGTTCAATTCATGTTATGGAACATTCAATTACTTGAACCTCATACCAGGTGAATTGGACGCTGCAATTGTTCCGTTTTAAAAACGAAAAGTATCGTATTCAGCTGTAGAGACGCACAACAATATTTGGACGGATCTATCAAGACTTGTTACCAAATATATTTTCTCAACCCTTCATTTATGTGAGCCTAGAAATGGATAAATTATGAAATGACGTAAGAATATTTTCGTAATAAAGAAAATATAGTTTCCGTGCTTTCGCAAAAGAGAGACATTGAATGTTGCAATGCTTCACATGAAGTAACCCGCAAAGCGAGCGCTGTAGCCAACCCACTCTACTCATGCAAGCATGGGGTCAGGTACACCAGCATTCGCTTAGAGCACACTCAGCATCAACGGCAAATCATTGCGTTTAAATGTTTTGTCCCTTTGTTTATGCTCCAGAGTGTTTTGTTCATTTGTGTAGGCGCCCTTTCTAGATAATTGACACCAGTCCAGCTCCCTAATTAATTTTTTCGCTGTTGAGGACAAGAATGTTTTCGCATATTTTTTAATATTGTGTGTATGCTGAGCATGTGCATTTATTGGCATCTCATGTTTTGGATATTCGGTGCTACACACGTTAACACGAACAGAACACTAACAACTTTAAAAAAAATCTAGTGTGAACACTGTGAAATACGGAAGCAGATGGTTTCAATATAAAGATGTTTTGAGAAAATGGCACCATTCCACTTGGCGTGAAAGTGTTGTAGTATACAGTTGTTATTGCCATTTGAATCTTACAAATCCTTAATGATCGCGGGGATAGCGAAAGTGCGATAAAGGTTCTATTCTTGAAGCAGGAAAAAAGTTCATGCCAAAGCGTGGATGATATTCTTATCATCAGCATGACTGTACCGTTAGGTTTGCGCCAGCTGAAAGAGTGGTAGTGTCATTGACTTCCCTCGCTTCCCATGCTCTGGCATTTTTTGATTTTGTTACTTCTGATAACGTTCACCAAGCGTTTGTTAAAAGAAAATGGTTTTATTATTGCCTGATAGGTATTTAGCTTTCAAATAATTTTGTTCCTTTCACATACCTTGACGTCCGTTATGACCATCTGTTTTCTCCCTAACTTTTAGTTTTTTTTCTTTCTGAACCACTTATGGTTAGAATTTTTTTAGTTTTACTGGCAACACTCGATATTTTTAGAAGAATCGGTTTTTGTTAAATGCTTAAAAAAGCCGTCATAGCTACAAAAATGCGGTTTGTGCTAATGATCTTACGTACCCGGGACATAATATAGAAAATAACCCTGTCTAGAAGTTCGATAATTACGTCATATTTGTTAAAATATTAAAATTCTAAAACTAAATACATAATTGTATTGACAAACTTGCAGAGCTTCATCGAAAACCAATAAATCAGTGAATATTAGAAACAATTGTAGCGCGGTAGTGCGCTGTGTTACCATTTGTGGAAAACACACCAGCCTATAGTCTCAAAAGCGGTCCCGCGAGGCTTTTCCATATATCTATTAGAAGCAATTTTGCACTATTTTCTTAGGGCTGGTTGCACGAGTAGTAAATTTAGCGCATTACCGTACCTTCAAAGCGATCCGAATATTTTTAAAGCATAACATGCCTTTTAACGCTATTCCATACTCCCAAAATATTGGCGGTCCGTCCATTCGCCCGTTTGAGCATCTTCCGCTAAGTTTAGCGGTAAATATTGCGTTGAGTGACGTCACGTGACTTATACACCTTGGGGGCATTGACGGCACGTGACTTCTATATCATGCCAATTACCCGTTAAATTTAGCGTGAAAATTCACGTCTTGTTATCTAGAAAGCAATCCCGTTTATCCGCTAAATTTGCTGGAGGAAGTCCACATCACGTAACGTCTACAACCATTCAATTCTCCCGCAAAATTTAGCGCAAAATATACGTTACGTGACATGATAATTTCTTCACCAATTATCTATAAATGAGTTCCTGCATAAGAGAACTTTAAAAGCGCAGGTCGCCTACATTTTTTTATTTACTGATCTAGTGGTCTTCGATGGCGCTCAGAAAATTTCTACATTAACCATGTGGTTATTTTCAGTAATTAAAAACCTACATAGAAAATTTTACTGCCTTATCAGAGTTATAGACACAACTATCTTTCTATACGAGGTCTCCCCTGTCTCTAAAACCCACGTGCACAAACCGTATTAATGTAGATTTTATGTTTTTTTTAACATGCCTTCAATGACCAATAACAGTTAGAATATACCTTTCTAGATTCTGATTTTATTGTTGCTTCTCAGATTGTTGCCTATTTCCTAAGTTTTCTGAGATCCAGTTTTATCGACACTGACGTCATTGAACTGTCGCCATATTGAGCTATGCATTTTTGTGTTTATTATAAATTTTCTTGTTACAGGCATAAACACCAAAGGTGCCTTGCACGGACGGCAAGAGGGCCATACTATGAGAAATATTACAGAAAGTCCGTACCGTAAAACATTCGGTTACGAATAAATTGAGCCTAAAAATATATATATTTTTTACGCACAATACACGCAAAACAATAAATATTAATTATCACGGCATAACTGCGAGTTTCTGTTTAGTCAATCGAGAACGTCCCCAAGATGCAAAAACAAGATTCCTGGACAAGGCGGGCTAGATTCATGTTTTACGGCGTGTGCCATATTAGCCTTAAGCGGGATACGAAAGCACCGATATCTTAAATTCCTCTTCAATGTACATTTCCGGCCTCTAACCTTTGACTGTTTGAGTCGGGCTGCCGCCGTTTGTGACCAAATGTATCATGCATCAGGAAGCGGTTGGAGGAAAGGGGAGGGGGGAGTGTTCACTAAGGTCTCTTGCTACTTATTTTACAATTAACGACAACTCATACAAATGAAAAAGCACATTCCGCTGGAGCACACTGGCACCATTCAGTTCAATCCTCAGCGGTGCGGAGCCATTTGTTTCCTGAAACATCACTGTCACGCAGTCGGCGCTTCAAAGAATGTCATTACTTCTATGAAGCACTAACTTAGGGACTTTACTTTTCGCTGATCGCGAAGCGGTATGGGCTGCCTGCGAGGCTTGCAGTTTACATTGTT